TTTTTCTTTTTTTTTTTTTTTTTTTTGAGAGAGTTTTGCTGTTCTATCATGAGGTTGAAAAAAAATAGACTTTTGTTTAAGCTAGTTTTTGTTCAGATTCAGAGAGGTAAACTTGTTCATTTCTGACTGAGGAAAACCTCCATTAGTAAGTCAGAAAAGTAATGAACTAGGGCTAAATGATCTGTCGGTACAACAGAGGGCTCGTTTCCCTCATATATTTATAAAACTCTTACGAATCAATAAGAAAAAAATAGCCTGATAGGAAAATGAGCAAAGTACACGAACAGTTCACAGAAAAACAAGTACAATGGCTCTTGGTGCATGAGAAGCTCTTCAACTATATTGTAATGAGAAAAAATTGGAGTGAGATAATTTTTACTAGATTAACAAAGATATTTACACATTCAGTAGAACTTTGAGGAAACTAGAGAAACAAGCTCTCTTGCCTTTCACTGGTACAGAATGCAAGAGTAAGTCTGTATGGCCTCTTTCTGTCTAGAGGATTTGTAGATAACCCTAGAAATCCCAAGTACACATTTTGACCTAACGAGTCCACCTACAGGAATGTATCCTGCAGCAGACTCACTTGTCTGAAATGGCCTGTGTAAGAGTAGTCGTAAGTGCCATCGGGTCAGCGATGGAGGTGCAAGTGGGAGGGCGCTGCTGCACTGTGGGAGGCCTAGTTCAGCTCCTGGCCAGGCCCTGTGGTCGAAGCCAACCTGGACACAGGCAGGAGGATTGCAACATGAGGAGACTATCAAAAATACTTGGGAGGTCGGCAGGTGAAGTGGGGGTTAAGGCTCTGAACTCACACATGATCAAGTGTAGTTGGGGTCCCGGACCTGGCAGCTTGCTTTCTCTCTCTCTGGTCAAATTAAAAATAAATAAATGATAGATAGATAAAATTTTAAAAACCACCTGGGGGGCCAGCAGATGGTGTAGTGATTACAACACTGGATTCCCACATGGCTGATCATAGTTCAAATCCCAGACCTGGTGGCTTGGAAATCATGCCCAGCATGTGTGCATTGATACCCAAAATCCCAGGAAAATAGAGGAGAAGTGATTGCAGCATGGCCATCCTCGCAGGGCCTGATTTCTCACTTTCCCTCTCACTGCCTCTCTGTTTTTGTCCAGCAAGTGCCCTCAGCCAATGGCAAAACAAACAAACAAAACAAAACAAAACGGAAAACAAAGGGAGCCATTGAACACACCTAGGCACATCTATAGGGTGGAACCCCTGCAGCTGGAGAGAGGATGTTTGGGGTGTGTTGTATGGGGGAGGGGTGTCTTCAAAAAGTTCATAGAAAATTTCTACCATTAAAAAAAATGCCTGTCCACATATCGAAATGGTCTCATTGTAAGTCAAACAATATGATTGAAAGTATATACAAAAAAATAATAAATAATGTGGAAAAATAAAAATAAAATAAAGAAAAATTAAATTTAAAAAAATTAAAATAATAAAAAAAAATGCCTGAACTTCAAATTTTTTTTGCATCAAACTAAGCTTGTACTTCAATTCCACTTTTCCATGAACTTTGTAAGGTCCCCTCATACTGCCTGGACTCTCCTCTACCTTCCCAACTTTCACTGTCTTCCCAGTGACCCATGGCCTTCTAGACCTTTCTGGATCATCTCACCTGTCTACTCTCTCCTATCCCCTGCTTGCCTCCAGCCCATTCGTGATGTCCTGCCACCTCCTGCCCCGAAAGCATATTCTCAAGGTTTTTCTTTTAAGGTTCTCTACACCTTAAAACACTTCCTGGTTTTCCATAAACATCTCTTCATTCAGGTCTTTGACCAAATGCTCCCCAGACCTCCTGACCACTACAACTAATGTAATCTACACACACCTCCAGTGACATCACTCACAGTTCTAAAATGCCCCATGGCACATTCTTTGAACCTACGCATGATCGACATTACCAGCACACATGAACAAAAGCAGGTTGCTGACATAAAGAGGTGGCAGGTCACAGCAAGAGTGTAACACTGTGAATGTAGACAAAAGGCCTCCATCCCCCAGCCATCTCTCCCATCAGTGTCTCCCGCACGGGGAAAAGACCCACAACAGCCACAACCTTCAAAAGGACCATCAGTGTCTCAGTAATTCTTTAAATTTACATCGGGAGTAATGCCTTTCGAGGCAGACTTATATTCAAAATTATTAAGTTAGGAAAAACAATTTTGTTGTTTAAGGTGTCAAATTTTTAACACATGCAATGTGCAATCTGACTGAGTGATGGGCAGAAAAAAAAAATGAAAAATCAACTATAAAGGATGTTATTGGAGGGGCCAGCAGGTGGCAGAGTGGTTAAAGCACTGGACTCCCACATGGTCAACGGCAGTTTAAGTCCTGGCCTGGCGGCTTGAAAATCATGCAGGGTTGGGACCAGCAGATGGTATAATAGTTACATCACTGGATTCCCATGTAGTTGATCATGGTTTGAGTCCCAGACTAGGCAGCTTAAAATTCACACCAGGTCTGTTGTATGCATGCCCAAAATCCTGAGAGGAGAATGGAGGAGAAGGGTCTGTAGCATGGCCATCCTCCCAGGGGGTGATTTCTCACTTTCTCTCTGTCTCTCTCTGGTGAGTACACACACCCTACACCAAATAATCCCTTAAAAATGAATAAATAGAGACCAGCAGTTAGCGTAATGGCTATGTCGCTGGACTCCCACGTAGTCGACCACAGTTCGAGTCCTGGACCTGGCGGCTTAAACTCACGCCGGGCGCATGTGCGTGCGTGCCGAAGATCCCGAGAGGAGACTGGAGGAGAAGGGATTGCAGTGTGGCCATCCCCCCTGGAGGGTGATTTCTCGATTTCTGTCTCTCTGTCTCTGTCTTTCTGGCGGGGGCACATGCCCTAGAACAAAAATCTCTCTCAAAAAAAAAAAAGAAATTAAATAAATAAAATGTTGAGCACTTGTGTGTTTGTGCCCAAAATCTCAGAGGAGAATGGAGAAAGGAATTCAATATAGATATCCCCCATGGGGGGGGGATTTCTCACTTCCCCTCTCTCTCTCAGGCGAGCACATGTGCCCTATGGCAAAAACCATTCAAAAAAAGTTACTGGAACAAATGGGGAAATTTGAATACAAACCTTCCTAAGGGTGGGTCAGCATAATGGATAAGAGAGCTGGATCCCACACGGCCAATTACAGTTGACATCCCAGCCTCAGCTGCTTGAAAGCATGCCAGGCGTCTGTGCATGCCCGAATCCCAGCAGGGTGGAGAAATACAGGAGAAGGGATTGCAACATGAACACTCCCACTGAGGAGGGTGCTTTCTCTCTTTGGTGAGTACATGGCCACCCACCGTCTCCCTTCCCCCCCTCCCCCACAATTAAAATTTCCCAGAGATGAGCACTGTATCAAATATAATTGCAGGATTCTTCCATTCTCAGAAAAATCCGTTTTGAAGGAAATAGAGTAAAACCATCATATCTTAAAGCAATGACAGACAGATGAAAAACAGACAGGGCTGATGTGCAAAATTGGGGGGGAAGAGTGTGTGGGTTATCCTGGAGGCTTGAAATTTTTATAAATGAGATGAGGAAAACTACAAAAGAACATAAACAGGAGCTTCCATTAGCGGTGAATTTTCCTATGAACATTTTCTATCTGCTGAAGAGAGCTTAGGTGTGGCATTAAGATGTAGTCACCCAGGGTGCGGCCCTCAGCTTTGGTGATGGCTTGTCACATGTCTGTGCTTTTCCAACCAGTATGTCTCATCAGCTCTAGTTTTCTTGATGATTTAAATATAAAACCCCATTAGTACAAGGCATTATAAACATTTTTAGCCACCTTTTTAC